GACAGCCGCGGCCCCCCCCCGCCAGCCAGGTCGTCCTCCCGGCTCTCCAGGGACGTGCCTCTGTGGTGACCCCCATCCACCCCCCTCGGCTGGTCAGCCGAGTGTGAACCGGCGTTTCGAGAGGGGGGTGCAGCCTTTCAGAGCCACCGCAGGACACGTCACCAACAACTGAAACACAGGCCGCGGCACACGGGAGGAGAGGAAAACAGCAAGAAAGTCAGTGGATTCAGAGACCCACCTGTAACTGCAATGACAAAATGACACAACGGCAGGACAAAGCAAGAAGCAGAAATCTTATACAAAGCTAGATGCTCCTGTACGCTTCAGAGACGGGCCACACGCAGCCACTTCCCCGCTGAGCCGTAACTGCAGGGTATGTCCCCTCTCCCCAGAACCCGCTCGTGCTTCCAGCCCTCAACTCGCAGCAGCGGGCGTCTGTCCCAGGCGGAGGCCCGCTGGCGTCTGCCGACGGCGCGGATCCACCACCACACTTCTGACCAGAACAGCAGAGGTGTCCGCCCACTTTGCCTTCAGAAAACACACTCCCCTTTGAGCTCAGAGCTGCTGGCAGTAGAGTTCGTACAAGCTATTTGCCAGCTTCTGTGTCTCTTGAAAAGCTTCACAGCTCTGCTCCCAGCTTGGGGGTATCTGTTCCTCCCCATAATACGCCCCTGCAATGGCTCCTGCCATGGTCGCAATGGTGTCTGTGTCTCCCCCCAGGGAGATACAGTAGATGATGGTCCTCTGCAGGCTGTTGTAGTGATCAGGAATATCTGGGTCAGCTTCCATACAGTGCAAGAAGGAGTAAATTGCAGTGGGGACAGACCGCAAAGCGGCAATGCCGTTGCCTGTTAACAAAACCAAGCATCTTCAGTGCTGCAGAACGCTTGTGTCTTCCTTCCCGCAGAAGAGCCTTTTCCCTGCTAACTGCAGCTTCCCACTGCCCATTACTTTCAATACCAGGATCTCTGGTTTTGTCATGACAAGTGGACAAGTCTGCATCTCAGAACAGACATCTCCCCCTGGCTCCCCAGTACGACTCGCATCCTGGTAAGCAACTCCCAGCTACACCAGCACAGTCTGGCAGCACACATCTACCCGTTCCCACCCAACACGAAGATCCAAGAGCCAGCAAGACAAGTGACCTCAGAACATTACGAGATGTTATGCACGACAGTTTTTCTTAGCAAGACATTTGTCTTCCCAACCAATACAGAGAGGGAGTCACTGGGTCAAGACTCAGAATTGCTGACTGGCGAGCACAGCCAGCCTTCCCAGCAGGCTCCGTGCCTGACAGGCAGCCGAGGCTGCAGTGGGAATCTGGGGCAGGACATGTGAACTGGGCTTGCTGAGGCAGTTCTAATTCCAGCTCTTTCCTAATACTTGTAGTAAAGAAAGGTACTTACCTAATTCAAACAATACATCTGCTTTGGGAACACTGCTGAGCTCCAAAAATTCCTTTATTTTCTTTAGACGTCTTGAAAATGGTAAATCCT